CAATGTCACCGTGCGCGCGCGCGCGCGGCATACAACGGCCGGATATACATTTATCGGGTCCGCGTCAATTTCGCAATCTAACGTGATTTACGACGGCGGCTCGCGACATTTTCAATGCCGTCAGAGGCCGTTAGGGGGTAGAATCGGTTACGTGACGAGTTACGTACACACACACACACACACAGAGGCCGCGGCCGTGAAAAATGACCGGCGTTTGACAAAGCAGCTTCCCTTAAATCACGCAGCCGCCGGCGACGCGCCATTATCTTGCGGCCCGTCTCACACCGCCTTCCACCGGCTTTTCCTCGCGCGAGATGCCCCCCGGTTTTCCACCCCGTGCTCGTCGGCGTCGTCTTTTGGCTTCCGTGGCGTGTGACTCCATTATCTCACGCCTTTAGCCGGGGTAACGCCGGAAGGGATGACGTAGCCGAGTAGGCAAGTGGCTCACCCGACGAAATTCATCAAGCACATCACCGCGCGACGCGCGGTAGCCTGAGAACGCCTCACGATTGTCGCCGGAGTTCACGGCGGAAGTACATCGATGTTTACTTACGCTTCATGCGCATTGTAATTCCCACAGCTACCCCCGAAGAACGCTCTCTCTCCCCTCTCTCTCGCTCATTCGGCCGTCATCCCCTCCTCCTCGTATATCCATTAGTTGATGCGACCGCCTCCGCATTACCGTAATGAAAAGAGCGATGAGTATGTGGCGACGCGGGCCGCCACGTCGAAACGCGATTAATTTCATTAAGATCGCGGGGCCTCCCGATGAATTAATAAGTGGCCGTGCGCAGTTAGGTGGAGAAGTGTAGGGCTCGCTCGTACGATGTAGTCGTAATTCGCTCGATTCCGATGTCGATGCGATAAAGGGCGAAAATTACGGGCGAATTAGCGAGCGAGTGAGAGAAACGAACAGGAGTTCTCCCGACTCTAATTGTCGGTTCGGAAACAATCGGCGGGGAGCGAGGACGGCCACTACTCGGCGACGGTCTCTTGGTGTCGACTCTCGGCGAGAACTCGGTGTAACGTTAGAGCCGCAGGGATCCAATCTGCTACAGAGAGAGAGAGAGAGAAAGAGAGGTGCACACGCCACCGACTAATCCGTGGATATGTGTACGCGCGGGATCCATCTAATATTTACAGCGCCACTCTCGCGGTTTCTCTCGTGACGATTGTTTCAAGTCGAGATAAACTCCGCAATTGAGGCTCTCCTTACTCCCTCGGTGCACGCAGACGCGCCGCGAGGATTACGTATGCCAAATTCGCAGCCAGTTGAAATACCAGCCCCGACGGCTAATTCGAATTTCCACCTCTCGTCCCTGCCGCGACGGCGAGGATAGTCGATTTGTTTGTCCGAGTTCTCTCTTCGTAAGGTGAAGCACTACAGGAGCCGATCGCAGGCCCGTTCGAAGAAATAATTAGCTATACGCGGAGAAGAAATCATTTGCCGACGCAGCAAAATCTCTTCAGTTGTTGCGCGGACGGCAATACGATTCGTTCAGAATGCCGTTCGCTGGATTATTTTGCCGGATCCGCGGATTTCTTTCTGTGAGAACAAATTAACGAATGTAGGAAAATACGGCTTTGTTCTAACAGCAAATTAACGTGTCCTCGGGATTCAAATTCCCTCTGTAAAATATTTTCTATCCCGCACGGGAAGATATAATTTTACCGATACGGCGAATACTTTTCTCTCGCGTGGCGGCGAAACTGTTTCTGCTGTAATTACGAATAATCCGTTAATTTGGCCGTGCGAATTAAATTTCAACGCAACGAACAGCAACGATGATTTCGCTGCGACGGCAAAATAATTTTTCTCCGTGCGAATTACCGAAAATCTTCCTTCGTCTCTCGGTCTCTTTCGATGTGAGAAAGCACGACGAAAGCGCGCGATACGTTCGCTCGCGCGACTCTACGAGCTCCGACGGCGAGATCGCGCGAATCGCATATGGACGACGGAATAGAGAAATTTATCCGACGAGTGACTACGCCTGCCGATTTGATTGCGGTCGGCGTATCGAGGAAACCGTAACAAACGGCCCATCGCTTTTTCATTCGGACTTTCAATTCGACGTTGTGAATTGTGGCTCGTGATCCGGCGATTTTATCTGGCTCACCGGTGCGCCAACGAGAGGCGGTCCTTTAGCAGCTGGCTTTCGCCCGTCGACCTGCGCTCTTCTCCGGGCTTCACCAGCGATCGAAGAATAATATTTGCAACGTCTTCCCGTCGGGATGCGTCGTTCGAGTCGACGCGAACGGCGAAAACAGAGCTCGCGCTCGAATTTATATTTCTTTCGCTGCGCTACTTATCGAGGCCCGAGAGAATTCGTTGATTTCGTCAAAACGCGCGACGAGGACGTTCAGACTCGAAGCCCCAATCGATCCGCGGGAAAGTCTCGGGGAATTGCTGTTGGTATAAACGACCGGTGACTCAGTTGCTATTTGTTTTGCGCTGACGCGGAGTTAATCACACACCACTGCCGAGGTTGGTGTTTGAGGTGCTTGATTATATTTCACGGAGCCGCGTTCACAGCTGCATTTTCATGCGATCGCGGCGAATTTACCTCCCGATACACACCGGTTGGGGGGGGGGGGGGGGGGNGGGGGGGGGCGGTAACGAGCTTAATCGTCCCTCACGGGGCCTCGAGTTTGGCCGTTATCGCGCGACGAATAAATATGATAATGGAGAAAAAGGTCGTATTTCGAATCGAGCGTTCGCCGGACGCGCTTTTCACGAGCGACTCCGCGCGCGTTGATCCTCGCTCGCGCTCGTTTCAGTCGAGAAAACAGACATTATATCAGACCAATATCAGCGCTTAACTGTTACCGTTAAAGATCAGGCTGGACGTTTGAAAAGCCGATAAACGGATTAGCGAACACCTGGTGATTATTGTCTCTGACTGGAATAATCTCTTACATCTTCAATAGAACTAATAATCACTGAGCGCATAACAGGGCGTTCACTTCTGCAGGAACGTAGCTGTTCTGTAATAAAAGGAAACGTGACGATGACGATGCGTTTCGATATTCACTGCCGGTACTGAAAATCTATACGTGCACGTAGCGTGAACGATAAATTGTCAGTACTGGCAGTGAATATCGAAACGCAGCGCCGACGTCTCGCTTCTTATCGAAGTCAGGTTTTGCGTTGGGGAAACGGAATCCTTTCGGTTTTTCTCACACGGGGGAAATCTTATCGGGCGCCGACAACAAGTGGGGAAAAGATGGGGAGATTTCTACACGGGTAGTTAAAGACTGATACGTCCCGCACGATTATTCGGCCGGCCGGAATGTTGGCGGGGCGCTCGTAAATATGAAAATCGGCCGGGCGAGAGGGCCCCTCTTAGTTTGTAGATTTTTTGCCCGGCCGGATTCGTGCTCGGGCGAGCTCGCATTTTCGCACAGGCGGAACGCGGGGGAGCCGACGGTTGTATATCGGGCTCTGCCATCTAAAAATCGACGTGGTCCGCGCACACGAAAGCACGGCCGCGCTTCGTCGGCCGGCCACACGCGAGCGTAAGCCGCCGCACGCGTGAATATCGCTTATGTGGACCGAGCGAGCGAGACTTCTTCCTATCGTCGCCCTTATCGTGACGTTTAACGAGCGCGGGTCACGTTGTATATCCAGAGTGTACGCTTTTTTATACGACCGTGCCGCCGCAGTGGTAACTTAACCCCGATGCGGGACCGGGAGATAAGTGATAAAGGTGAGCGAACGAGCCGGCGGGAAGAAATAATTATCCATTATACCACGCAGCGTAAAAGCCAGTGGCTCTCTTTCGCTCTTCCTGCCTTTGACGCGTCCATTTGATTCCGTGAAATGGCTCGCAAACTAATTTCATTGTAATTCGCTTTTATGTTGCGACAAATGGAGATTGCACCCTCGGGGCTGCGGCGTTCGGAAACCTTACTCGACGAGTGGAATAGCACTTAATTGAGGATATCCAATCGGGAGAAAAAGAGCAAAGATTTCTTCATCATGATTGGTTAATCGAATGCCACGCCACTACGTGGAATAGAGTTTTCAAAGGCAGCCCGGCGATGATAAAATTCCGTTTCGCTTGTCGCCGGCTCGAAAACGCGATTTTAATCCGTAAACTTTATCCGTAAGGTTTATCCGTAAGCTCGAGAGGAATAATCCCTCACCGGAAGCGGGACGTTCGCCGCTTTCGAATACAACTTGTTTCACGTCGCTACGACTTTCCCGTGCCGAGATATCGACGAGCGGTGAATTTCAAAGGGGGACCGAAGGCCCGTCGCTCGCCGACAAAGCGCTGCCGCGCGCCCTTTAAAAACTTCACACGCTCGTATCTCGGCAAAAATCCACGTACGAACGTGAAACAAACGCCCTTCTTTTCGGCAGCTCGCGCGTAACGTACGTGCACTTGTCGTGGGTGCTCTTGTTATGAGACGTGTTCACCTCCACAATGACGCGACACCTGGTATACGCGGCATATTGTTGTCTGCGTAGGCACCGGAATGTATTTAGTAAACTCGAAAAATTTCCCACGGAGATTTCTGCGCAATTCGCCGAATCTCCTAAATTAAACGCGCGATATTTCAGTGCATATCATACCGCGAATTTGATGGTAATATCGAGAACGGTTTGAATTACTGGACTAGAAATTCCGCATGTTTGAATTTCTCATTGCAAATGTCGCGAAATAAACGTCGCCCTTCTTCGAAGAGCTGACTGGAAATATCGCAATCGATACGTGTAGAATCCATACTCCGAAAATGCGCGTTTAGTCGGATTTTAATTGGATATTTTTCAGCCGATCACTCCCGAAATACCGTTGATATTCCAAATATTTTCGGAACTCTGTTGAGAACCGAGTGGGTTCCTAGCGAGTGTTGAAATAACGAAGCACAAATACGCCGGATGCGAATACGTCGCAAGCTCGTATTGCAACGCTCATTCAACGGATCTTCCCGCATGCGACGTTAATTTCGCCGGGGCTCCGCCCGATAACCGTAAAAAGCAAGAGTCAACGGCTTACCTGTAGATCGGCGTGATGTCACTCTTGTACCAAACGACCAAGATAGCGGAGTCGTTATGCCGCGGCGGACGAATGTCGCACGGCAACTCGGCCGTCCCTTCAAGGACCGCTCTCGTGGGCAACGGCGGTCCTGCAACACGAAAATACCGATCGGATACTTGCCACCAGCACCTTCCGTCATGCAGACGGAAGAGTCGTCGTATGCAATCTCGTCGCTGTTACCGGTATCGCACTTGCGAATCTGAGATTCGCGCGTATATCAGCTCACCTTGCGTTCAACAAGATCCGCCAACCATCTTATATATACCGCGTTACCCCCCAATCATTCCGAGCGGTTATTTCTAACGTAGGGAAATCCGTTTTCCTCACAAATAACGGGGGTTGACTGACGCAGGTGTGACACGAAAGGTGATTGCGTTTCATAGAAAGAGAGAGAGAGAGAGAGAGAGAGTGCCAGACAACCTCCTCGTCCTTTACCGGGAAACGTATACACGGACCGCATATTAGCGTAACCGCACAGCGCCATACACCTGCATTCGCCTCCAACTTCGATCATTTTCTGAAACGCGCTCCTGTCCGCATATTACGGCAGCGGATGCGGGACGAAGATCACCAAGGCGACGAACACCTTCGCCCTCTGAGAGGTAACGCGATAATTTCCCATCGCGAACTGGAATTCCAATTAATTTCCGGCTCGCGATCGTTGCGAACCCGCCGATGTGTCCACCGTTCCGATCGCGTGCGACCGGCTTCGATGAAATGAAAAGAGGAAAAGGGGAAAAACGACGTCGGCCAGTCCCGCCGAAATACCGCGGTGGGCTGCCGCATCGTCGACGCCGAGCAATAATATTTCAATATCCGCGCGCGACGCGGACCCTCCGCGCGGTCAACGCTTCGACTCTCGCTCGGAGACGCGGACGATTGGACATTTTCGAGGTGAAATGAGAAGAGTGAGAGAAAGAGAGAAAGAGAGAGAGAGAGAGAGAGAGAGAAAAAACCTGGACGAAGACGTCGGCGTGCGCGGAACGAGGGGTCACAATTTCGCGCTCCAGAAAGCGGCGTTTCCAGCGGGCAGTTCACCCCCGACATCGCCGCTCCGTCCGTCCGTCCGGGTATTGAAGGATCGGCGAGGAATATTTGCGGAGGAGAGGCTGCGAGATGGACAGAAAGAGAGGGACAGAGAGGGCGAGAGAGAAAGAGAAACGACCGCGGCCGGGATGGCGGATGGGCGCAACGCGGCGCGCCGGAAAGCGGAAACGGATGTATATACTGGCCGGCCGGCAGTCCGACCGTATTAAAACTGAGCGTCGCGAATAGGAGGATTTCCTTCCAGTCTGTCGAGCCCGTAGAGGAAGCGCATCGCGCGACACCGTTCTCTCGCTCCTCCACGCGGAAGTTTTCCAAATTTTTCCTTCCTCCTCGGCTCGTCCGGAGCGAGCGGACGAGCCGGGCGTTCGCACCGCACGCTCGCTCGCTTTCCGCGAGAGGTTATGACCGATCAAACTTATTTCGGAGTGAGATAAAAGGCGTTTGTGTAAAATGAGACCGAATAAAGCGGCGGGTCCGATCGGCTATTACTAATTCATCCTCTTTTTTTCTCTCCTTTTCTCTCTCTATCTCTCTCTCTCTAGCTCGCACGCTTTTCGTTTTTCCTCGATTGCTCGCACGGGAGCTATCGATTTGGTAAAACAAACCGCCGGGTCCGGTCTCGCCTGCGAGTGTCCGCCGGGAGCGACGGGAATGTTTGTCGACGGCAGTTTCGCGAACTTGGCGCGGCAAATTTTAGTAATGATGCGTTTTAATCGGGAGCGCTTGGCGAGGAACGCTCGCACGACTCCGCGATTGTCGGTAATTTTGCCGCGTTTGCTCCGTTTATCGCGTCCCTCGACCTTGTGAGGGTGTCGTCTCAAAGACAACGAAAAAATGGAACGAAAAAGAATATGAAATTGGTCATTCATTCTCCGTCGTGATTTTTCATCATTCAATAATACGATCATTCGAGTAACACGAAGCGCTACCGCCGCCGTTCTCACCTATTAAAAAGGGTGCACACACGGCTGCGTGGCCGACCGAAACGGCAGGGGGGGGATATTCTATTATCAAATTTGGCGAAACCTTCATCCTCGCGCCTCCCACGTCCAATTTCCGAGTCTCCGTCGTGAAAGCCATTTCTCTTCCTTACATTCTCCCGGCCTCGTGAGCGATAGTTCACACGGCGCGCATATTAGGTCTCTCGTTCCAAGTTTTGAATTTTTAAGCAGAATTTTCACTCTGTGCTGCCGTCACGGCGGCGGAATATATTATGCAGTCCCTAATTTAGCGTCCCGGCTCTTCAGTCGCTTCAGTCGCGCATACGGCGGGATGAGTTTACGCGAAGGAACAAATGGAAGAGCGGTGCCGGTTTCACCGTTCTCTCGGCCGAGTGTCTTCCTTCCTAGTCTCTTCCGCGGACGACTCCTCTGAATTTCATCGTGCAACTCGCGATCGCTACTCGAGTCGGGGAATTTTTCTTCTGCATTAACCAACAAAAAAAATCTCCGAGTGTCTCAGACTATTGCTTTTTGATGCTTCACTATTTTATTGAGAAATTTCAGATAAAATATCCTTATTTAGGGATTATTGAATATCCAATTATCAACTCGCGCTATTTTTATTTTGGGGTTATCGATCGTCTCATAATTGAGGTACTTCGAGGGCCTAGCGTATTTCGAGAACGTTGATTATCGCGATTTGTCGGCCAAATTCGCTCATGTACTCATTGATCGACGGTTGGCGATTGGTGGGAAGGGATTTTTGAAGATGTTTGTGTTTCACGCGTCGTATTCTTGTCCGCTGGTGAATCATAACGTCTCGATCCGATAAACGACGCACACATTGTGACGTGGAACACGTGTATCCGGTGATTTAATAAACGTCGAAGATTTTCGAAATATTTCATCGGGTTAATTGATACATGTTTTTCCAATCGAATCGTACCGTCAGTATGTTTCAGTGTAATGTGTGCCACGGAGGAGCCAAGAACGGACGCCGAATCGGGAAATCAGAGCGCAGGATGCAAGACGTCGAGGGAATGCGAGCGATAAAATATTTCCAGACGTGTGAAATTATTGATTGCGCAGAAAATTTTAGACCTCTGACGAGTTCACCGCGAATCATCATTTGGCAAGTAGAATTAAAATTACACGAATCTCCGATTATATTCTCATCAACTTGTATCTATACTTATTACATTATTTCATACAAGAAATATTGATCCGTACGGCCGAATAACGGCCCGTGAATATAAATCTGTGATTAATTATGCTCGATCAAAGATCCGAAATAATTCACAACTGTGAATACCAGTTTTAGAATGTAATGTAGATCTCGCAACAAGTGTTGACGTTTATAACAATGCTGCTTCGAGCGCGAATATGATTTTGTTTAAATTTACCAGCGCTTTTTCCGCTTCCATTTAACTCCGTTATTGTACAGAATTCAAATTTAAATTCCTATTCGTAATTTATTATTCGTTATTTTTGCCTTTATGCTTTTTTCTTTATCAGCTTTTTTCAGAATTTCAAACAGAACTTCAAAGAAAACCCCCAGAAACGAAACATTATAAGAATAAAAATGTATTACTTTTTACTTTTTATTACTTTTTCCACATACATCTTGATCCTTAATAGCTTTAATATTTGATTATTTCACGCATGATATATGTGACGTAATGACGTAAATTACATAATTAATAATATCACTTATTGAAACTAAGAATAAGAATTAAATACAAATAAACAGAATGTGGAAATAATCGAACAAATAATCCCCGACTAAGTGCTTCTTCGAGCTTCAAAATACAAGCAAAGTAGAACAACAGCCTGTATAGCGTTATCTCCGGATTCCGCTTTGATCTTTCAAGTTGGCCGGGTATATTTGCAGGATTGATGCAGAACCAAAATTTCGACTCGGGTACGTGCTTCTCGCGCAGCTCGCCGGCTCTTAATCGATTCCACGAGCCCCGAAGTTCCGCGAGTTTCCCGATTCTCGGTGAATTTTCGCCACGACGGCGTTCTTCCGTCCGGGACGGCGCGCAGTTGGCGAAAGTATACCTGAAATTCCGTGCGGATTTTTGCAAGCCCTGCGCATCGACGAACATTGATCCCTTTGGCGCGATACGCGCCTTCCGGAGATCCGACTCCCGCGTCCTTCCTCGCTCGCAAGTTTCGCGACGTGGGGAGCGCGTCGATCCTCCCGATGAAATTACTCCAAGCCGAATTCCGATCCGTCGGCCGATTTCTCGCGGGGTCGACGACGAGCGTCGCTAATATCCGCGTTGTACAGCGAGAAACCCGCGCTCGTCCCCCTCCTCTATCTCTCAGGATGATTAGACGAGGGTAATCCCGTTGCGTCGAGGTCAATGCGTCCGGACAGAGACGTTAATTAAATTTGCAGGCGACCCAAGTGGTACTCCGCGCTCGCGAGGCGCCCGCCCGCTCTCCTTTTTCCGCGCGCATTATACATTTACAACACCGGATACGGGATCCGTCTCGCAGTCTCGCGCGATCTTTACCGCGAGCTCTTCCATTTTTCTCGCGCCCGTACCTCATAGAGTTCACGTTAACGCCGTTATCCCCCCTTCCCCGGCAACACGGATGCTTTTACCTCAGCCGCCGCTGCTATACGCGCCGGCTATCTACCTGCCGTACCCCGGCCGTACGGTACGTTACGTTACGTACGTAGGGATCCGGTCTCGCGTGTACGCCGGTATAAGCGTATAAAACAACGGTTTTCACGGCGTCCGCTAAATTTCCCCTGGGCTGCCCGCGGTGCATTATGAGTCCTGAAGGGTGGCAACAGGAGCGGATCGTTCCTGTCGTGTCGCAGCGTACGCGCGCCTTGTTCCCGCGGCTTCGCGTGATCTTCCTTCCTTCGTCGACCCGCGGCGACGGGCAGGCGCGACAGCCGCGGTAACGCGCGGAAAAGCGTTTCGAAAAAAACGAGAGCTCCTCTGACGCGCAGCCACCGGTCGCCTGTGTGACGTTCTCTTGGAAAAGGGGACAACGAGAGAGGGAAGAGAAAGAGAGAGAGAGAGAGAAAGAGAGGGAACACAGGGAGAGAGCCGGTGCAATCCTTTCCACCGGTAGTAACGCGAACGGGGAATCCTCCGTGCGTGTCACGTTTCATTGAGGATTTTTTCCACTGTCACGTGCGAGCGCGAGAGGATGTCGTCGTCGTCATCGTTGTTGTGCCGTGGTAGTAGCCGGGCTTACTACTTTGTGAGAGTCGTCGCACCGTTATCGTGATGAAAATATCGCGGTAGTTACGTGCTCCTCGTCGTCTGCCCACCCGTTCGTTCGTTCGTTCGTACGTTGCGTTCGAGCTCTCTCTCGTAAAGATCCGCGCGCGTTACATCGGAATGGCGGAAGCGAATATTTTATTTTGCGCGTCGCGAATTTAACCGTCTCTCTCTCTCTCTCTATCTATCTATCTATCTATCTTTCTCTGCCGTTGTGTAATCAGTTCCCGCCGGGGCGTTTTATCGGCACAGTATATTGAAACATCTCGCTTGCCGCGGCCGCGAATCGACGCGCCCGAGCCGATTTTACCCCGATGAAAACAGAATTTTCGTATTACATGTATACGTAGTGGCCTGGCTTCGCGTCGGAGTGAATTTCCGCCTCCGCGGGAAAGAATAACACTGCGTACGTGATACCACCCGCCTCGTGCAAAGAGATAGCCTCTTCCTTTTTCATCCTCCCGGGGATCCAATTTCGGAAATTTAATACAGCGCGAGAGCGAACGAGCGAGCGAGAAAGAGAGAGAGAGAGAAAGAGAGAGCGGTAACGCGTGTGTGCAGCTCGTGAGAATTTGGAAAATCACACTCCCTGATGATTAATCTTCGAAAGTCGGGCGCCCCCTTCGCCTAATGCGCGTGAAAACGCGCGTCTGGTAATTCGCTGTATAACAAGAGTACAAATAACAGGCTCGGATGGGAAAATTCCCGCGGAAGCTGCTGGATTTCAGACGCGCGTGCGAATGTGCCGCGCGGTGCAAAATGCAAAATTCAATGTACAAGCGCGCCTTTGAGAATTTAATTCGGCGGGCGATGAGGAAGATGATACTTTGCGCGCGCTTTGCGAAACGTGATTTCGCGAAATGTTGGCCGATCACGAATAGATCGATAGCGATAGATCGAATTAGAGAGAGAAAAAGAGAGAGAGAGAGGAGAAAAGAGAAAGAGAGACACCCCGGCGTGTTATCGAGCGTCGCGATGACGATTTTTCCGCGAGCGAGTGCGAGCGATACGCGCGGCTGTGCTTCGCCAGCACGGATATTTACCGTGTAACGTGCCCCGCCAAGAGGAAAGTGATATCGTCGACGCAGCGGAAAAGCCACTCTTTATAAAACGTTGCTGAATCGACGCCGGCGGTTTCCATATACCTGGCCGACGGCGCCCCACGGGTTTACACAGGTTTCGTATGCTCCATGGAAAGGAACGTCTCTCCCCTCTCTCCCTCTCTCTCTCTCGGTAACAAGTACAGGTTGTCAGCGAAAATCCTAAGTCGGGACCGACGGGCCTGATCGAGATATCGCGATCGAGAGACGGCGGCCTTGCTCGCTCGCGCGAAACAGCTCGACCCCCTGCATAAATCTCCGCGGAATCGCGCCCTCCCCCTCGCCGTCGTACGGAGAACGACGGTGTATACCATTGTAACATCTTCAGGAGCGTCAACTCACGAGGGCCTAAATTTGCACGGCACTTAACGAGCAACGCGTTAACAGCGCAAATTGAGAGCGTCCTCTCTCTCTCTCTGTGTGAGAGAGTTAACGAGCAACAGAAGGAGAGTCTCTCTCTCTCTCTCGCTCATTTGCGAGTTGCAATAATCATAAGTAGCATAGGAAACGGCGCGCGGGCGTGCAATTACAGGTAAAGAGAAGGGGGGAGAAAACTCTTCCAATTTCCGATCGATTTTCTCCCCTTCGCAATTTTCAACGTCGTTTCGCGAGACGCCAAACTACATCGGTCCGCTGTTGGCGCGACGGTGAATTTCGCGATCGTCGCAACGGCCAGCGGGATACGCGAAAATGGCTCTCTCGGCGATAAGGAATACGGGAATACAAGGACGACCGCGTTACCAAAGGCAGGGAAAGAGCAAGAGAGAAAGGGGGAGAGAGAGAGAGACAGCAGCCGGAAATCAGTGTTACGGCTACCCTCGTCTGGTCGAGCCCTTTCCACGCACGGAAATAACCTAAACGGGTATCCGGCTAAGCCGATAATCCGCGGGTCAGACAGTGTCGAGAAGCCGTGCAACTTTGCCTAACCCCTCCCGTCTACCCTTACGCCCCCGTGCCGGCCACCGATGCTCGCCGGCTGGCTATCCGTATCCTACGGTCGTCCACGGAAACCCGCGGTTAGCTGGCAGCTATCGTTTCTACGCTTTGGCCACCGCCTAGCAGAAATCAATTTACTCCGGTGACTCTGCGGCGAGATCAGCGAGGGGTGAAGATCACAGCGCGCGTCGAACGGACGAATGGAGAAAGGAGGGAGGAAAGAAGGAAGGAAGGAAGGACGACGGGGGGAGGGGGATTAGCGGGAATAAATGCGGCAGGACTTCGCTCCGGGCTCTTTAATAATCCGAGAATGTGTGTGTCGTCTCCGCCGATCGTGGCTCTCCTTCTTCCTTCGTCTTCGGAACGACGACATCCCTCGTCCGAGACTAATCGCCGCGATTACCGACCCTCGTCGGCTGTCCGGCGAGAACCCCGGCCCCGTCGTGTTGCGTCGACGTGCGAAAGGAGGAAGGACGCTGCAAACCGGCTCCTTTGCCGATCGGACCTCGCGGTCTCAGTAGGGATCGCGTTCAGGTCAAAACGCTTCAATAATAAAATCCGAAACATCGATAGACCCCCGTAAGCGCGCTCTCTCTCTCTCTTTCTCTCGCGTGTGTGCACACACATGGGCGCGGCGAAGAGATATATACGGTAGCTCGGGAGCGCGCGCAATATCGTCGAGTTTTAGGGTTTTCGCAGCTGTGGTAACGGCTGCCCGCAAGGCGGTGCCACGAGATTTTCCCCGAAACTCTCGCCAATATCACCATAACCATAATTCCACGATTCCATTGGGAAGTTTTTTCCATCCGTGCCGTGTGGCCCGGCAGCTTCCGCGCGGCACAGCCCTGCGTGTCCCCCGTTGTCGTCCTTGCTTCTCTCCGGAGGGACGCGTGGGATCGAGCTTTTTGCTTGACCGTAATGCGCCGGCCGGCCGAAATCATTTCACGGCACATTATACCGGCCCGTATTGCCGCACCGGCATCGGACACCGCAATATCCTGCGCGTCACGGTAAAAGAAAGGAGACGATATCGGCGAGGAGATGATTTTCGCGAGGAGATCGCGTCCGGTCGCGACCTCCCAACGACAATCGGCGGGCTCGGCAGATGGGGATGAAAAATTCGCAGCGGCCGTGCGATTACATCTTCGTTCTGGCGCGCGCGAAATCGCTTGAAAATCGAGGAAGACGCGG